ACCAAAGCTATCTTTCCCTTCCAGTTGAAAAGGACTGTGAAGACAGTTGTTCAGCTGTAAATTTGAAAGGAAGAAGAGTAACTCATATTTTCTGAGGATCTGCTAAGAATCAGGAATCTGCTCAACCTTGCTTTTTCCTACAAGTAAGTGGAGGGTTCAGGACTGTATTCACATTTGAGAGGGTAGCATGGCATAATGGGAAAAGCATGGGCTTTGGAGTCAGATGAAGGAGCTCTGGTGGTGCAGTGGTTAAGCACTCAGCTGCTAACTGAAAGCTCAGTGGTTCGAACCCACCAGCTGCTCCGCGGAAGAAATACGTGGCAGTCTGCTTCTGTAAAGATTACACCCTTGGAAACCCTATGGGACAGTTCTACTCTGTCCTATACGGTCGCTATGAGTCCGAATCGACTCTACAGCAGTGGGTGGGTAGGTTTAGAGTCAAGAGAAATCTAAACCTTTACTCTGCCATTTACTAGCTGAGCAACTTTGGTAAGTATTTAACTTCTCTGGGCTTCAGTGAGGATTCACTAAGATAACAGATGTAAAGAGCTGGGCCTAGTGCTGCCGCGCACATAGGAGGCATTCAGTTCCCATGCCCTTCTCTGCTATCACCCTGACTCCAAAGTTAATTCACGTCATTCATACTCTTGGCCTTGAAACTTCACACAGCAAAACATAAAGATGGGTCTGCTAGACAGACTACTGAAGCGAGGGCCAGGAGATGTGGGTCCTGGTGCCAGACACATCCTCTGTTATAGTACTTGGGGTAAGTTACCTCTCTCAACTGACCCCCTTAATAAAACAGAACACCCCTAACACCTCTGAAAGGAAAAAGCAAAGGAAATCACTTTTCTTGGGCACCTGCCATGAGAAGTGCCCTATGCTAGGCCCTTTTGTTGTTGTTCGGTCCTGTCCAGTCGTTTTCAACTCATAATGACCCCATGTGACAGAGTAGAACTGCCCCATAAGGCTTCCTAGGTGTCACTATGAGTTGGAATCGACTCGATGGCAACAGGTTTTTTTTTTTTTTTTAATCTTTTGGGAGTAGATCGCCAGGTCTTTTCTCCTGCAGAGCTGCTGGCTGGTTTCGAACCGCCCACCTTTAGGTTAGCAGCTGAGCACTTAACTGTGGCACAACCAGGGCTCCTTAGGTCCTTTTACATACTTTATATCCTCTAAATCTGTGATGGTGGGAATGTTGCATATCTGCACTGTCTAATACGGTAGTCACTAGCGATAAGTAGCTGTTAGCCAGTTCGACTGAGGAACTAAAGTTTTCAGTTAATTTTAATTAATTTAAATTTAAGCAGCCACACATGACTAGTGGCTACAGCATTGGATAATGCAGCTCCCTGGGGGATACAAACATCTAAGCACTTGACTACTATCCAAAAGGTTGGCTGTTCAAACTCAGGTAAAGACACCTTGAAAGATAGGCCTGGCTGCTTCCAAAAGGTCACAGCCTTGAAAACCCTATGGAACAGTTCTACTCTGCACACATGGGGCCACCATGAGTTGGAACTGACTAAACAACAACAACAAAGATTATGAAGCAGGAATATGTTTTCCCATTTAATATATGGTAAAACCGGAACTCAGAAAAATTAAAAGAACTTGTTGAAAGTCACTTACATATTAAGTAACTAAACCAAACTCAAAACCCAGGAGTAGAAAGCTTAGTAGGGTGATAAGGTCAGATATACCTAGTATTATCCAGGTTCCACTACTTACAAATTGTATGACTGAAGAAAAACACAATGTCTGGAACTCACTGTCATCATCTATAAAACGATGATAAAGGTCACCTAATTTACAGACCTCTTGTTGAGATTAATGGGTATAAATCTATACAGTGGGGCCCATAGTAGGCTTTCAACAACTTTTGTTCCCTCAGCACTATGATTCCTCTCTCACGCATGGAAGAGATTCAGACATAAACTAAAAAAGAAACAACTTCAGGGTAGAGAGAGCACTTGGAAAATACAAAAGCAAGAAGGGAAACATGAGCTTTTACACGATATCCAATTATAGAATGGAGATGAAGAAGGGTATGAAAATCATCAAAATATCTCCATTTACTTGATTTGCTTTCCTGCCTTTCCTTGACCCTCTAGTCAACATTAGCCAAAGCAGGGAAGAGAGTATTTGTAACGTGTTTTGAGGCCCAGAAAGACAAGCTATAACGGTTGAACAATAATGTTAAGGGCTAGGATTGAGAGGCAGATACAGTTCAAATCCTGGTTCCCATACTTGTTTGTGTACTTGGGAAATAGTTTGACATCTCCTACACATTAGTTTCTAATCCGCAGGGTATCTCAATAAAGCATATGGATCGTTTATTATTTTGCTTTACTTTCTGTAGCACCCTCTAGTGGTGTGTACAAAAATAAGCATTGCATTTCTGCCCTCCAAAGCAGTGGTTCTCAAATTTTAGTGTGCATATGAAATCACCTGGACAGCTTCTAATAACAGATTGCCAAACCCCACCCCAAGAATTTTTGATTCAGTAGGCTTGAAGTAAGGAGCCCTGGTGGCGCAGTGGTTAAGTACTTGGCTGCTAACCGAAAAGTCGGTGGTTTGAACCCACCAGCAGCTCCACAGTAGAAAAGACCTGGCTATCTGCTCCTGTAAAGATTTCAGCCTAGTAAACCCTACGGGGGCAGTTCTGTCTTATAGGTTCATTATGAGTTGTAATCAACTCAACCACACACAACAATAATAGGGTTGAAGTGGGGCCTGAGAATCTGAATTTTTAACTTCTCAGGTGATGCTAAAGCTGCTGGTCCAGGAAACATATTTTGAGAACCACTGCTCTAAACGGCCCCCTACACACACGCACATGTGTATATATGATTGATAACTGAAAGAGGTATGATTTTTGTTGTTGGATTTTGATTTTGTAGTACCCACCTAAAAGGGATTTTATGAGGAATAAATGAGAATATCCATGTGAAGTCAACATAGCATCTAAAATACAGAAAGCAGGCAAAAAAACTGAGGATCACAGAACATAAGTCATTTGCCCAGAGTCACAGAGCTATAATGTGGTGACATAGGGTTTAAAAGGTCTCTGACTTCAAAGGCATAATAAAGTTTAGCAGTACCACTGCACATACATGTGCGATAAAAATGTCACAAGAAAAGGAAGATCAGTTTTCAATGCCAGGGTCCAAGTTTTACCTCAGAGTTCTTAACCTATCTTTACTGACTAAATAGCCCTTTGTGTACTGTTTTGGGGGGCTGTTAACATTTGAAAAGAAGGTGAACAGAAAGGGTAGAATCTTCATCAGCATCAGTGCCTGGCATCATTCCTCACTTCCCTGATAAAAGAAGGCATGGAAGAAAGGAGAGGCATGAGGAAGGAAAAAAAATTAAGTGTTGAGGTAAGAAGGAAAGAAACGAGAAAAGCATTTGGATCTTGGGCCATGGTCCCCCGCCTAGTAGGGCCATTTACAAACGTTGGCTTCATTTTCCCCCTAAAAATGAAAGATACACATAATCACTACAGATTGGAGAGTTCAACAAATCAGAAACGGGGCGAGGGGGGGAGGACAAAATCCCATAATTCCAGGGACCAAACAGCCAATCCTTTGCTTGGATTTGGCGACATCTAGTGGCAGACTTGAGAGGTATAAACCTCATCCAGAGAACTTTCTGGAAAATTAATCGAGTGTGTACTCGCCTGAAGGGCACTGTGCTTGGTGGTCAGGACAAAAAGGTAAGAGAGCTCTGCCTCCACAAAAATTTAGTCCTTCGTGGAGGGAGAGGCTGTCATATATAGATTATTGCAGCAGAAAATTATACCTGTACTAGGAGAATTGCGTGCAACTTTGGGGAGGAGCGGGGGCTGGGGGCGGGCAGGGAGAAAGGGGCGGGAGTGGGAGGCAGGGAGCAGGGAGCCGGGAGCCATCCTGGGAGGGGGGAAAAGGGAAGGGGGACTGACTGGAGAAGGGAGAAAGTTGGGGGGAGAGAAGGGTCGACCGACTGCGGGAGGCGGGGGTGGAGAGGTAGGGGGAAGGGTGGGCGGGGATGGGGGGAGGATATAGGGGAACATGAAAGAAGCTGCCTCTTGGAGTTGCTAATAGAGGAATGCGAGGGTTTGGTACTTACGCACTGGAGAGCTGTGGTTTAGAGCAGGATTTTGGCACTGAGCAAAACGTGGAAGAAAGTGTTATTTTTAGAGTCTAAAATTGAATCGATAGGGGAAACCAAAATACTTCCATGTAACAAAGGCCCTTTATTTATTATCCGCTTGACTTATTTTCATTTTAATTAGAACAATTTTCAAACATACAAAAGTAGAGAACATTCGCTGTAATAAACACCCACACACTCATTACCTAAATTTAACATAGCGCAGCTCACCTATAGGTAAATACACACACACTCTCTCACCAACCCCACTGCGGGACACACACCGTGCCCCAAAGTCAGAGGCGCAGGCTGGCGCACACTCCAAGGCCACGCGAGCTTGCCTGCGCACACACACAGGCCCCAACACCACACGCCCGAGTCACCCGCCACCTCCACTCACACGCACGTCAAAAACACCCCCGCCTTCCCCTACACCTCCAGAGTTGCGCAAGAGGTTCGGGGGCGTGGCCCACGTTCAACCTCGCGCTTCCTCACCGGCGGGAACCTTAGCTCATTTCCGCCCATCCTGTTTCCGCAGGCCACGTAGACACTTCCTTTCCCAGTAGTGGGGAGGACCCATAATGCCTCTCTGCAGGAAAAAAAAAAAAACCTGGTCAAGGGAACTCTGGGTCGTGAAAATAGGCCACGTGAACACTCTGCTCTATAGACTTATGACCCAAAGGCTGTCGCGCTTTTGGAGGGTGGGCTAAGAACCTAAGAGGATGAATGTGATTGGCTGCAGCTCACACTAAAGAAGGAAGGTGATTGGTTTGCTCCGAGCCGTAACCATGAAGAAGCAGGTTACTAGCACCCGCCTTTACTGCGGCTAAGTGTCATTGATTACGTGGTAGTCCTCGTCCAATCATTTGGTTATAGAACATTCTAAAACTTAGACAAGACGAATGTGATTGGCTGGCGGGCATAAGCCCGCCTTTAGGATGACGTGTCTGCCTATGGATATCAGTTGCCAGAGAAACCTGGCTTTACTATGGCGGTTGGAGGAACGGCGGTGATCACACGTCGGCTGCTGGGAAGAGCTGGATTCTCGTTTCAGGTTTCGGGGTGGGGGTGGGGGTGGGGAGGAAGGGTTGATGATTTCGCTTTACCTTATATACACACACACACATATATATGTATATATATACATATAGACAGAATCAGCTAGTGGCTTTACAGTCGGGCAGAGCTGGTTCAAATTCCTGCTCGCCAACGCCCAGCTCGGGCAAGGCTCCTGTTCTGTGTCTCGGTTTCCATGTTTGTAAAATGGTGATAATAATAGTATCTACTTCAGAGACGTGTACGAGGGTTAAGTATAATAGTGCGTATAAGGCACTTAATACGAAGTCTGGCTGCTGTAGGTATTACTGTTACTATGGAGATAAAGCCTCACATAACAGAATGAGAAAAATATGTATTAATTATGTAAATTCGCTCGTTATAGTGCCTTCCCTGCCCATCAACTTCCCAAGAAGAAATTAGAGCTATAAAAGGCGTAATCTTTACCAGTGAAATAATATGCTGAGATTTTTTTGCTTCAAAATAGTGGGGATTGGAATTTTCCAAATTGAAAAGTAAAAAAAAGAGATTGAGAACGAGAGCGAGCTGGAGATCAACCACATGCGATGAGTAGGCCTTGTTTGGATCCTGATTTGAACACACCAACTGTAAAAGATTGTTTAAGATACATCGGGAAAATTTGAACACCGAGTCGATATTTTATGGTTTTTAAGAAATTTATGTCATTTTTTTGGTGTTACAATGGTATTCTGGTTATGTTTTTAAATGGTCTACCTTGTAGCGATAGCGACTAAAATATTTACACATTAAATAATATAATGTCTGGGATTGGCTTTAAAATACGTTGACGACTAGGATTTGCTTCAAAATAATTCGGCGAAGGGGAGAGTGGAGAGGGCTATAGATAAAACAAAACTGGCCTAAAGTTAAAAGTCGTTTAAGCTGACTGATATTACCCTGTCTACCTTAGTATATGTTTGAAATTTTCCGTAATAAAATATAAAAAATTAGCTATTCGGTGCTTAAAAAATCGGGGGAGGGGGAGCAGTGGGTGGGGTTATAGATGAGACAAGATGGCCTTCAGTTGGTAATTGAAGCTGGGTGATAGATTTGTGTGGGTTTGTAATCCTATTCTATCTAAATTTTTATCCATTTGATTTTTTTCCTTCATAAAAAGGTGAAAAAAAAGTCCAAAAAAGGATAAATGTACATAATTTGAAAATATAACAACAAGAAAGAAAAAAAAATTGTACATTATCAGCTTTGATGTCCGTTGTGTGTGATAAATGCATTGATTGATGGAGAAGAAAACCATCATCTCATATCTTTTTATTTTATGTCCTTTCCTGTCCCCTTCTTTGACCTTCTAGGTCACCATCAGAAAAGCTAAGTTTGTTGTACAGTAAGGATCAGAAGATCTGATCCTGATTACGGAACCATCCCTGATTACAGAATCTTGGGTAAGTGCTTCCCTTCTCCTGGCCTCAGTCCTCAAACAAGATAATACCACATAGTCTTCCTAAACGTCTAGGAATATTTTGAACATTAATAAGCCCCTATCTGGGAAAGCACTCTGAATTCTAATAAGGGAAGGATGGAGCTAAACCCCTTGGTGCTTCCAGTGTAGAAAGTGGATATAGAGACCTAAACAACAGAGGGCTTATATAATCTTGCATCTCTCGATAAAAGATTCTACAAATCATGCCCTATAGTTAGTTCTACAAATCCATATATTTGTTATGTTGTTTTTCTTATTTTTGGGCACCCCATATGCAGCATAGTTTAGTTGTTAAGAGCAAATACTGACTTGCTAAATTTAAATACTGGCTCTGCCACTTACTCTGTGATCCTGGGCAAGATATTTACTCACTTTGTACTAAGTTTCATCATATGTAAAATAGAGGTAATAATAGTACCTACTTCATAGGATTGTTGTGAGAATTAAATGTAAAGTACCAGGACGGTGCCTGGCACATGTAAGTGCTTTAATAATGATTAGTTCTTCTGATACATCCTGTTTTACACACACACACATGCTTCTAAAAGCAGTAGATACCTCTCTTTGGAATTGCAAAAAAAATTAATGTTGGTTTTTCTCCTGATTTTCCAGAAGCAGCGTTACCACTAGAACTGAATTTCTGAAATTTTGACTTCTGGCTTGTCCTAACAGTCTAGAAAGGTTTTAAGTATATTGATCATATTTATTTATCAGGGAATTCCCAGGACCTATAACTTTAACATAAGTGGCAACTAGCAGATCATACCATATTTGGTTTGCTAGTAGCTTTTATATCATTCCTCCTTTGTCCTCAGTCTGGAAAATAAAAAAACAACAAACTGTTACACATGAAGGAGATGTTCCAAGATCCAGAAGAGAGAATTGATATAAATGTAACTGACATGGTGTGTTTGCATTTAAAAGTTTATTCCATCAAACTAGAAGGTGTTATTCACACTTATTTGTGGCACACTTGTATACAAAGATGTTAGCGATTGGAGTCTGCATTCCCGAATGATCAGTCGCATACATGAGGAGATGAAGGAAGGTTTTCAGTATCTTTACAGCTCCATTTCTCATGGAGTCACTGTCTTTTCCTTATTTTTCTCCCTTCCAAAAGCTAGGTTGCAGAGGAGGGCACTGCCCTGGTGGAAGAGATGTACTAGATGGGTAGGCAGAAAACCCTGTACGTGAGGCCATTTGGAGAATGATTAAAGGCTAAAGGGAGCAGGGTGGACTGTTGAGCCAGTAGGAGCTCAGAGAAGGCATCAGTCAGGGTGGCCTGAAATGGAGAAAGCCTTAAGGAGGAAATGGATCTTGACTTCAGCCTCTGATGATGGCCAGAACCTAGAAGGAGGGAGGGAAACCAGTCTGAATGGTGTGCCTACATAGTATACAATAAACAGTAACAACTAACTGAATAGTTCAGCTCTATGTATAATCCATGGATAAGAGTAGCTTAGAATATCATTATAAATTTAAAGTATTATGTGTTTTTAATCACATAATCGATATGTGAATACATTCTCCTTATAAAATTTAAATATAACAGTAGGCTTAGGTTTCCTTTGTAACCATTCTCAATTCTCTTACCCTCCCTAGAGGTAACCACTAATATCGGTTTGGTCTATTTCCTTCTAGATCTAAATTGTGTACCTCTTTAAAAAAAATGTCTATGGAGATACATAAAACATTGCTTTGTGTTTTTCTTTTTACACAAATATGGTGTCCCACTATAAGTATTGTTTTGCAACTAGCTATCTGTGTTGTTTGTCTTGAATGTCTTCATGTCCATTCATACAGTTCTATTTGATTCCTTTCACAATGGCACTCCTTTAACTAGCATGATATTGCATATTATGGGTATAGTACGTTGTATTTTGCCAAACTGGAGATTGACTGATGTTTTGCTACTTCAAATAATCCTGCATTAAAAATCCTTGTATAGTTCTCTTGGTACATATTTACAAGTGTTATTCTAGGGCAACGTTTATGTTTTGAAGATATGATGATTAACCAGTGTGATACTGGTTTGAGAATAATCAGACATATCACTGGCACAGAACAGATAGCCTAGAAATAGTGATACCTTTAAGAACTGAATAATCAAAAAACACTGGGAAGAGAGTACCACAAAAGACCCAAATACTGTGGAGAATTTAGAATGTTACAAAAGAGCATTTCAAATTATTGGGGAAAGGGTGGACTCTTCAATAATTGAGATTAGGAAAAGTTTGTTGTATATTTGGAAAAAAGCTTATATTTTATGCAAAGATGAATTCTAGATGATTAGAGATTTAAATGTAGGAGAAAAACTATAAAAATACCAGGAAATAGTATAGGCAATCATTTTTAGAAATTCTTAAAGTAAGATACCATAAATACACTTAAAAGACAAATGGCAGTTTGGAAAAAGTATTCCCAACATAAAAAAGGGTAATTACTAGAAATCAATAAAAAGCAGCAAATAACCCAGTAGAAAAGAAAAAAGATAAATTGACAATAAGCATATGAAAAGATGTTCAATATCACACAAATTCAAATGAAAATAAAATGCCTCATTACCTGTTACGCCAAAAAAAAAAGTTGTTTTTTTTTCTTCCAAAAATGTTGTTTATCCACTGTCCTTGAGGAGGTTGGTGAAAAGACCTGCACTTTTGCTGGGAATACAAATTGAAACAGTTCTTTTTGATGTGAATTTGGCTTTATCTTATCAAAAATTGTGAATAAGTAAATCCTTTCAACAAACAGTTTCACTTCTGGGAACAGATCCTTCAGAAATATTTAGCCTAATGCTCTAATACAGCTGTACTGTTAAACAGCATTTTTTTAAAATAATGAAATGTTGGAAAAAAGCTGAATGCTCATTAATAAGGGACTTGTTAAACTATGGAACATAAAAATTACAGAATACAATGTGGATGTTAAAGAATGAGGTAGGTATGTGCTGACATGAAAAGATGCTAATGATAATATCCTAACGAGAAAAACAAGGTGCAGAGCAGTATGTATTTCATCTTTTTCAAAACAAATTATTAAAATGCATGATATATTCACACACATAACATTTGATTTTAAAGGTGTATTTGTGTGTGGATATGCACATAAAAAAAATTGAACGAATGCACACAGGTTTGTTCAGGGGATACATTAGGGTAGGGGAGGTAGGGAGATGCCCACATCTTTATGTATGTTGTATTTATGGGTATATAAAGGGAAAATTACACAATAAATGGTGCCATACAATTTAATTACTTGGGAGAAAATTAGATTTTTAGCTAATACATCACAAAATAAATTCTAGGTGGATTGAAGAATTAAACATAAATCCATAAAAATATATCTTAATTTTTAGACTTAAAAACAGTGGCAGGAAAAACTACCTATCTGACCATATAAGACTTGAGGGGAAAGACAAGGTCAGACACTGTAAAAGAAAATACTAGGGGAAATATTTACCAAAATAGGACATAATTCTTAATATTTAAAGCTGTAAGTAGGTAAAATCACCAAGAACCAACTCCAGATTAATGGGTAAAGGACAAGAGCTGAAATAGAAATGGCCAATGTACACATTTTTAAAAATGTTAAAACTTCACTAATAAATACAAGCTAAACTAAAACAACCCCTTTTTCCTCATCAAATTCACAAATATTTTCATGAGGCTACCCAGTGCTGGCCTGGGTATGAGGTGTGATAAGTGATATTTTTACACTTATTTGGGAGGTGATTTATTAAGGGCCTTAAAAGTGTCAGACCTCTTGACCCTTTAAATCCACTTCTGGGAATCTTGCAAAGGAATAATATGAAATGAAGGCAAAAAATGTGTATACAAAATATTATAATTGGTAGTTGTGGGATAAAATGGGGAGGGGTGTTAACTAAGGTAAGGTGTGTCGATTTGATTTTAAATATACAGCTCTCAAAATGGGTGCAAATTCCGACCTTCATAATACGGGACCATGATTAGTTGTAATAGTAAATTTAAAAAGAAAAGGGAAATCTAAGATTTACTAACCAGTATGAGCTCACCTCTGCTTAAGTGTGTATTTACATAGAGATTAAAATTAAAGGTAGGAAACTATGATAAACATTACAAATGTGTTTTCTCCGTTTCTGGCCTAACAGAACTGTCCTATGGGAAAGAAGTGGAAAAATGTTTGGTAACTGTTCCCAGTTTTTGCCCCTATTTTCTCCATGTGCCAAATCACCTCCTTTTGATTCAATAGTTTACTATTCCCTATATATACCCAGGAGCCTTGGTGGTGCAGTGGTTAAGAACTCAGGCTAACCAAAAGGTCAGCAGTTCTAATCCAGTAGCTACCCCTTGGAAACCCTATGAGGCAGTTCTACTCTGTCGTATAGGGCTGCTATGAGTCGGAATCAACTTGATAGCTAATGGGTTTGGTTTTATATATATGTATATATATATATACACACAAACACACACACACACCCTCTGGGGACCTAGTCGCTGTGAAAGACGCAAGATAGGTATAACAAGACCTGTGGCAAATTGAAATTAATGTAGTTCCCTAAGCAAAACTAGCACATGAAACATTTTTCTGATGTCACCTTCAAATGGTATTGGAGATGGGAGAGCAACATAAGCTAGAGTAAGGGAAGATTTAAAGAGAGATGGGACCTGACGTGGGATTTAGATGAGGGAGTCTAATTGGGGCAAAGAGTGAACATGCCAAAGTGAGTAAACAATGTAATAACTACCTGAAAACTCAAGATTGAAACTGGTGGATTCAAAATTTAAAGTAGCTCAGAAAGAGCAATATTTAATGCTGACTTCCTACCAGCTTTTATAAGGAATGTGTGCAGAACATCTACCACCAATCCATGGAGCAGTTGAAGCTTCTGGGAAAGGAAGTGTGCAGTCTAGTGACAGTAGTAATGCTATCCAAAAACTTGTTATTTCAAGTAGGAGCTAGAAATCTCTAAAGGATGGATATTCCCTTTTGATGTCTGGTCCTTGATTCCCAGGTTAACAGTGGGTGCTTAATATGCGGGACACTCAGAAATAAAGGTCACTGAGACAGTTTTTTAGAAGGGCCGCTTCCCTGCCTTTATTCATTCTGGACACATAAATCTTAACCAATGATGCAGGTATTAATAAAACTGTTAGAAGTTTCATTCAACCTTAGACTTCATATGAATGATAGGAAAATTTGTAGAGAATGATTGAACTCACCTTCTGTAATGAGAGGCGGGTAAAATTATTTTGTGGTTTTATGTATGAATATATGCAGTCAATAGCAAGGATAAGCAGCAGGTTCACTTATCATTCTCTGGTTCCTCTTCACTAAGGAAATGGTAATAACCAATGTGGCTTCCAAGATAGTTCTTGTCCAGTCTGGCCGTAGTACTAGGTTTTTCACTCAGTCTAGTCGGAAACCGTGGTGGCTTAGTGGTTAAGAGCTATGGCACCACCAGCGACCGCCCTGACAGGGAACACAACAGAAAGTCCCTGATGGAACAGGAGAAAAGTGGGGTGCAGAACTCAAATTCTAGTAAGAAGACCAGACTTAATGGTCTGACTGAGACTGGAGGAACCCCGGAAAGCATGGCCCCCGGATTCTCTTATCAGCCCAGAACTAAAACAATTTCCGAGGCCAACTCTTCAGACAGGGATTGGACTGGACTGTGGGACATAAAGTGATCCTCGTGAGGAGTGTGCCTCAGCTTAAGTAGATACAAGAGACTAAACGGGCAGCTTCTGTCCAGAGGTGAGATGGGAAGGCAGAGAGGGTTAGGAGCTGGTTGAGTGGACATGGGGAGTCGGTGGAAAGGAGGAGTGTGCTGTCACAGTATGGGGAGAGCAATTGGGGTCACATAGCAATGTATGTACAAATTCTGTGTGGGAGACTAATGTGAAATGTAAACTTCATTTAAACTACAAGAATAAAAAAAATTTTAAAAAGCTGCGGCTGCTTACCAAAAGGCCAGCAGTTCAAATCCACCAGGCACTCCTTGGAAGCCCTATGGGGCAGTTCTGTCCTATAAGGGTCACTGTGAGTTGGAATCGACTCAACGGCAGTGGGTTAGTCTGCCTAGGGTCATCTTGCTTTCTTTAGGTGGTATTTTACTATCATCTTGTTCTATGGAATCTCTGCATTGTATTAGCCACAAAATGGACTTTCTGAATTGTATCCATATTGACTAAATTCTCTGATCATCTCAGATGTTTATCTATTCTGTCCTGGTCTCAATGAATTCCTTTTATAAAAATTATTTTGTAAGCATGATAGCTTACAATATAATACCATGACACTGCCCGCTGTCACCACTGTCTGGTCCTTCACAGATACTAGGAAATCATGCAGATAGGCCAACATTAATGTAAGGCTCTTATCAAGGATATATCTGTGTATTCCTGACAGCCAGAAGGTTTCTGATTCTCACAGGGTCATTCTCCATCTTCACAGATTGTGATGCTGGAGATTGGCTTTGCCCTTTTGTTTCTGCTCAGAGATTTGTTCCCTTTTCAGTTAAAGGCTGGTGTTTTCTTAGTGAGAGTACCCACCACCAGGCCTCTCTTCCCAATAACTGGCGTCCCTGACTCAGGGCTCTAGTCTTCAAATATTTATCTCTTATTCCCCCCTTCAGGACTTTCCTACCTGGCCACATAGTCTTAAGGGGTAGAGATTGGCTGAAGAGCTTTTTTTGTGGTTGAAAGTTGTCAGAGAAACCTGGTTTAAGATTGGTCCAGCAGCATCTCCTTTTTGCTCCCTTTCTGAGAAGAGGTTGTTGGTTGCTGTTCAGTCGATTCCAACTCATGGTGACCCCATGTGTGCAGAGTAGTACTGCTTCATAGGGTTTTCAAGGCTGTGACCTTTCAGAAGGCAGACTGCCAAGCTTGTCTTCCAGGGTGGCTCCAGGTGGGTTTGAACCGCCAACCTTTGGCTGGTTGAGTGCTTAACCTTTGTGCCACCAAAGTACTCCTTCCAGAAGGTGACCCCTGTCGTCATAATCTGGTATCTATCTGTCTAGTTATTTTCTTATGCATTTGTACACACTAGTTTAAAACACAAATTGGATCACATGTTCATAAGAACAGGTTTCTCTCTTTGTTTGAGGCCAATCCTTATTTCTCCACCTGTGTTATGTATCCCAAAAGGAGCCCTGGTGGCACAGTGTGTAAGCACTGAACTGCTAACCAAAAGGTTGGTTTGAACCCACCAGCCGCACTGCAGGGGAAAGACGTGGCAGTCTGCTTCTGTAAAGATTATAGCCTTGGAAACCCTATGGGGCCATTCTACTTTGTCCTACAGGGTCACTATGAGTTGGAATTGACTCGACAGCAACGGGTTTGGTTTTTTTTGTTTGGTTGGTTATATATTGCACATATTTCTGTGTCAGTACATAAATCTCTGCTTAATTCATTTTAACGGCTGCACATTCTTCCGTAATGTACATATATAATAATTTGTATTACTATTTCCCTATTGAATATTTAGGTATTCCCAATTTTTAGTATTATAAACACCGCTGTGATGAACATCTTTGTGTGCATGTTCACATGTGGAGGTATTCCTACAAAGAACTGTGCTAGCTGTTCAGCCATATCACATTGAGTCTTAGAAGAAACTGTGAAGGGTAGGGATGGTTAACCACATTCTGTGGCTGAGGGAAACCCTGGTGGCATAGTGGTTAAGAGCTACAGCTGCTAACCAAAAGGTCGGCAGTTTGAATCCACCGGAGCTCCTTGGAAACCCTATAAGGAAGTTATACTCTGTCCTTCAGGGTCACTGTGAATTGGAATCAACAGCAACGGGTTTGGTTTGGTTTTCTGTGGATGAGAAAACCAGGCTTCGAAACCCTGTTTAGAATTTGCATTTCCACCCAGAAATACTGAATCAGAAGCTACATTTAACAAGATCCCCAGGTGATTCTTAGGTATAATTTTGAGAACAACTGCTCTACTAGTGTTTCTCAAAATTTGTCCCTAACCAGCAGAATTAGCAAATTCTCAGCAGTGGTTTGATCCTGAATGAACTAGTTTGAAGCCCTGGAGAGAACAGGCTAAGCAAGCTTACATATATGCCAAAGGTCTTACAGCTTAAAAATAAAAACTCAAAAAAACCAAACCTGTTGCTGTCGAGTTGATTTTGACTCATAGCAACCCTGTGGCAGAGATTCGAACTGCCGACCTTTTGGTTAGCAGCCGTAGCTGTTAACCACCACACCACCAGGGTTTCCCCACAGCTTAAAAGTGGTGGAGCCTAATTGAAGTAGAGGTCTGTGTGACACCAGAACTCGTATATTTTCTCTGATACTTCACTTGTTTATCAAATTATATATTATTCCTATGTAACTACATAAAATCCTATATTATTATTATTTTCTATATTATTTCACGAAAGTTAATCTTCATTGTAGATACTCACCTCATCCTTCCAGACCATCCCTGAAGCTCTATAAGATTCCATCTGAGAAAGCACTAGGAGTTCTTGGAAGGAGAAGAAGGAAGAAGATTATGTAAGTCAAAGAAATTGTTCTATCTGTCACACCATAAGAATACTAGAACCGTTTTTTCCCATCCCTATCTTACTAGCCCTTTTTGCTGCATTTTACACTGTAGATTACCCCTTTCCCTTCTTGAAACTCTCAACTTCTTTGGCTCCCAGAATGCCATTCTAATTCCCCTATGCCTGCTCTGACCATTTTTGTTTCATTTTTCTCATCTCTTTCTCTGCTCATCTCTTGAGTATCAGTCTTCCCTAGGTTTTTCAGAACTCTGTACTTGGCTCACTTTTTTTTCTGTATTCTCCTTGTATTATTTGTTTAACTCATGGTTTCCACTACCAACAATATAATGATTACTCTCAGATGTCCATTTCTGCCTCTGACCTCTCACCTGAATCTTAAAGTCATGTGTATAACTGCACATCTTACACTCAATAGTTCCAATGTAGATCTTCTTCTTTTCCCTCTAATCCATCTTCTCCTCCTAGATGCAGTTTCATTTGGTGATAGTACTAAGACCCTAGTCACCCATCCTCAAAACCTGGGAATCATCATTGACTTCTCTCTCACCAATTTATCCCCTCTTCCAACAAGCTATCACTGAAGGTGGTGTCATGTACCATCTCTTGTTTTCTCCCATAATACTCTGTGCCTATAACTATCATTGTACTAACCTTGTTTTATAATTGTCACTTGAGACATTTGAATCCCCAGCACCTAGCATAGTACCTGTCCTGAAGCAGATGACTGACTGAATTAATGAATGGCTGAATTACCTGTGTTTTATTATTTTATAGCTGGTTCTAAGCTAACACTTAAAAAATCAGTGCTTTTATTCTTTATTAGTTACTCAGGCTTGAGATTTCAGAGCCACTGTTGACTCCTCCCTCTTCAGTTACCAAGTTCTATATTCTTCAGTTTCTCTTGACTCTCTCATAGCCCTGTTTCAGGCCTTTATCATCACCTACTTGCACTTAAACAAGAACCTTCACCGTTGCTCATTTTGCCTCCAATCAACTAAATTAATTTTCCTTATTTCTTTCATCTGTTCAAAAGCCTTGCCTTTCAACCCCACTGCATTTTATAGTTTCTTATTTTATTCAGTCTTTCTCTCAAATTATATTTCTATCGTTTGAGGGACATCAAAAAATTAATTTATGGGCAGGTCTGATGAGTGGTTGGGTGGGATAAGGGTAATAGATGATAATGAGGTTGGGATAGGGGGTAGAAAGTCACTTACAAATGGTCCTATACAAATCCAGATTCCAAGAGAGCGTGTGTTGTGCTTTGATGTGCCTGCATGAAGCATAGTGTGTTAAAGGTTGTCGTAGAAAACAACCAAGTAAAATACTTTATGTGTTACAGTGGTTGGAAGAAAAACAGGGTTGAATGAGTTCCAGAAAGCAGGGTTCTCAAACTCGTGGACAACAATCTGCTGAAGAAGACAACTTCAAAAAGCCAACTAGAAGCAACATGCAGAGAAGTAAGATGAGAGGGGCCGCCTCAGGAAAGAAGACAGCTGGTCCTCAGCAGAAGAATCTGGAGCCAGCTCTTCCAGGCAGATGGGGGGGTCGCTCTGCAGAGAACCCCCCTTCAGGATCCGTGAGGAAGACAAGAAAGAATAAACAGAAGACTCCTGGAAACGGAGATGGTGGCAGTACCAGTGAAGCCCCTCAGCCACCTCGGAAGAAAAGGGCCCGGGCGGATCCTACTGTTGAAAGTGAGGAGGCATTTAAGAATAGAGTGGAGGTGAAGGTGAAGATTCCTGAAGAATTAAAACCATGGCTTGTTGAGGACTGGGACTTAGTTACCAGGCAGAAGCAGCTGTTTCAGCTCCCGGCTAAGAAAAATGTAGATGCCATTCTGGAAGAGTATGCAAATTGCAAGAGATCTCAAGGAAATGTCGACAATAAGGAATATGCAGTTAATGAAGTTGTGGCAGGAATAAAAGAATATTTCAATGTGATGTTGGGCACTCAGCTGCTCTACAAATTTGAGAGGCCCCAGTATGCCGAGATCCTCATGGCTCACCCTGATGCCCCGATGTCCCAGGTTTATGGAGCGCCACACCTACTGAGATTATTTGTAAGAATCGGAGCAATGTTGGCCTATACGCCCCTTGATGAGAAGAGCCTTGCATTATTGTTGGGCTATTTGCATGATTTCCTAAAGTATCTGGCAAAGAATTCCGCAGCCCTGTTTACTGCCAGTGATTACAAAGTGGCTTCAGCTGAGTACCATCGCAAAGCCCTGTGAGGGTCTACTGACCACTCACTGTTATGTCTGGATATCTGTAAACACTTTTCTTTTTGTTCTTAGTCTTTTTCTTGTATAATTGATGTTCTCTTAAAATCGTTAATGTATCACAGGGCTGATGTTTAAGTTTGTTTTCTGTTTGTTTCAAACAGAAAATAAAAGGAGAGTAAACTCCTTTTCTCATTTCAAAGTTGCTACCAGTGTACGCAGTAATTAGACAAAGAAGAAACATTCAGTAGAACATTTTATTGCCTAGTTGACAACATTGCTTGAATGCTGGTGGTTCTATCCCTTTGACACTACACAATTTTCTAATATGTGTTAATGCTACGTGACGAGATGCCCTGATTCCTAGTGCCAAAGGTTCAACTTAATGTATATACCTGAAAGCCCATGCATTTGTGCTCTTTTTTTTTTTATGGTGCTTGAAGTAAAACAGCCCATCCTCCGCAAGTCATCTATGTTGTTCCTTAGGCATTCTATCTTTGCTCAGATTGTTGAAGGATGGTGGTTTGTTTCATGGTTTTTGTATTTGCGTCTAATGCACATTCTAACATGATAGAGGCAATGCATTATTGTGTAGCCGCGGTTTTCTGAAAAGTTGATATTTTAGGAATTGTATTTCAGATCTTAAATAAAATTTGTTTCTAAATTTCAAAGCAAATCATTTGCAGTGTGTCTTTAATGTTACTAAGGTTGATAAAGTCAGCAGGGAAGATCTAGGGGGGAATCACAGCAGAGAGCTGACTGCAAGTGAAGAAATTCCTTTTCCCTGTTGAGTGTGGCAACCAGGGCTATGCCCTGCCAGGCCAGTTCCCCTCCTCTCTCCTCTCAGTGTGGCTGCTCAGTGGGATTGCTTCCTAATACTGCTTGTAACAGCCAAATTTGTCCCAGGTACCCCTTGCCCCTATGAGTTTGGTTGGTATAATGTGACATTTAGTGGGTACCATAACTGTCCCTATAGGGTCGCTATGAGTTGGAATCGACTCGACAGCAACAGGTTTGGTTTGGTTTTTTTTGTAACTGTCCCTTAATCGTAGGCAGATCTTTGCTTTTTCCCACCAGAGGAAGCATGGGCAACCACCTTAGGTATTTACATCTCTCAGAAATACCTGTAGATTTCTGGCCAAGGATGGCAGCCTTCCCTAGTTTGCTCACTCGTGTCATTTTCTCTCTGCTTTTATAATCCCTTGGACATAACATTGGGAATCCTAGGCTAGGGGATCCATGGAGGAGGATGGTGTTAGATGCCTATGCTTATAAATTCTTCTTACATGGAAATTTCCCAGTCAAACGAAGTTTTTTTCATGACAAGTGTCACTTTTGTGAAAAAAGTGTTCCATGGTTATTGTAGAAATTTTGGAATGTAATGCAAGAACGAATGTAGAAATAAGAATCCAATGAAATCCCACTGGATCAGTTCATTCAGAGTCCCAAGAGGAAATAAATGGTACTCAAAATGTACGATTTAAGGAGAGAGAGTTTAATAAAGAATTTTTCTCTCAGTTGTCTTCAGAGGGGAAGGGTTGTGTTCTTACTATCCCTAAGCAAAGGAGAGTAGGAAAGGAGGAAAAGGTAGTGGGGTGAGGGGAGGAAGAAGAAGGGGGCCAGGGGAAGGGAGAAGGGAGTGGGGCAAGGGGAGGGAATGGTTACAGCTCACAGAGGGTGAGGGAAAAATACCTGACCTCACTTTCTTCTCTCTCCTTCACATCTCCTGCCTGATACTTCCCTTTGGCCAAACTGGAAGCCAGAGGTCAAGGAAGACATTTGATGTAGTCCGTATTGGTAAGCGTCAGGGACACAGAACAGGAAGGAGAGTGGATTGGGGGACAGATAGAAGACATCCAGCACACAAGTACTTGAAATAGCCATAGTTATTACTTCACCATATATTATAATTATTATGCATATGCACATATATTTGTAATAAAGACCACATAATATTTTTTAACAAAATTGGGATCAGATTAATACATACAGTTCTCTAAGCATTTTTCTCCCCAAATTAATATAGGTAATTCAAGCCTAATAAAACCGGTTTATTTTTAAATAACTTAATAAAAATAGAAAAATTCTGAAAAAGATGAAAGAGGAGTTGCCAGATAGTAAAATTTGTTATAAAAACAGTTTATTATTGGCATCAAAATAGATCAGATGAACAGAATGGAAATAACCATCTATGTATTTAATAACTTACATTAAAAGGAAAATTCAAACTAGTAGTGAAAGAATGGATTCGTCAAGAAATGGTGTTGAGGAAAATATTTGGGGAAAAAAGATTTTTTTACATTACACGTTACTTCAAAGTATACTCCAAAAAGACTGAAGATTTACATTTCATAAATGAATCCATAAAATTGGCTTGCAGAAAATGGAGATTTTATAATCTTGGCTTAGGGATGACCTTCCTAAATATGAAACTACTGGCAGAATACTGAAGGGAAAAGTTGAAAAGATTTGCATACATAAATATTTAAAATAACTATGATGATAAAATATGAAAGTTATTAGGCAAGCAACACACAAAGAATAGTCATATATAAAAAATAGTCAATGTCCTTAAAATGTAAGGTCTGTTCTTGTAAAGTTTTTTTTAATAAGTTAGACTAGGAAAATGAGCCATAGATAAAAACAGGTTCATTTTAAAAAGCAAATTGCAAGTAAACATAAAATAGGTTCATTTACCCTAGACAGCAAATACTAGAAAATTAAAGTAATGAAACATTTTCTACCATTGCTACAACCAGATTGGAAAAAGAATACTAATCTCTCTTCTCCCGCCCCTTGCAATGAGTGCTAGTAAATTATTCACCTGAACATGCTTTTAGATGTCTAATCAGTTTATCAGACAGAGTAGTAGAACCCAACCTAGGCTCTAGGCTGGCCACATTGTGACCCTAGTATACATCATGCAGTGACTAAACCCATCATGTGTCTCATTCCTCCTGGAATCCTGGCCTGTTCTGGGTAAGGGACAGCCGGGGGGGCGGGGCGGGGGGAGGAGTGGCAGGAAAAGGGACCAGTGGAAAGAAAGAAGAAAGGGGTTTTGATAATTCCATACACCTTACTGATGACTACGTAATTATCAGATATCTCGAACTCTAGTGCTGAGCACATAGAAGTTGCTCAATAAATGTGTATACGCTGAATACAGTAATTCTTGGACTTCACGTCTTAGTGAATACTTTATTCAGGGAGCTGAATTCCTGATGTCAGATGACTTAAATGATTCAAGCTTTGCATCGGTGATTGATGGGTGACCAGTTCAGCAGGCTTTGGGAGACCCCTCATCCTCGTGTCTCTGGGATCTAGGGCCTGGCCAACTAGATGAGTTCTTAAGGACTCCTATCCATTTAGGGGGCAGTTGTGACATGACACTCCTGAAACACTCCAAAAGAAGGTAAGGTTTGCTTCCTTTGTTATTAAAACTTTGAATAAGAGGTCTTGGAAAATACACTCTACCTCTCTGAGTTCTGTTTCTTCATTTAAGGGAAATACAGCTACCTACCCCACAAGATTGCCATGGGAATTAAAGAGAGAACCAACATAAACACCAAACACTGCATCTGGTCCCTAATGGGCACTCAGCAATTGTTAGTTCCCTTCCCACCCTGCTTCTTCCCTTCAGTGAAAGACATGCCTTTGACATCCTCTACCATAAATATGACAAAAAGGAAAAACATTTGTGGTCTTCAGTGCCATTTCTGTGATCTAGAATGAGTTATCTGATGGATAGAGTACAGGGGAAGGAACAATAATATACCATTTTCATTTTTGGAGTTACCCACCCAATGGAGTTTAAGGTAGGGGAAAACAACCACACCACTTAACTATTTATGTGTTTTCCTGTCCCTTGATTTTAGCTTCTAGGTTAGAAACCAATGAATCATATGTACTCAGAGCTCCAGAACTTTACATAGAGAATTCTAGTGCCAAACATCAATAGCTATGGGACCTGCTAAGATCATTTTCTTTCTTCCAACTTCATCTATCAAAGCTGCTAAAAATAGCTAATATTTATTATTTGCTGTGTGTCAGACAGTATTCTAAGTGGTTTATATAATTTACATAAACCTCACAACAACCCTAAGAGGAAGTAATGTGATTATTCCCATTTTGCAAAAGGGGCCCAGAGCCCAAGGACACACGGTTAAGATGGCCGACCTGGGATTTGAACCCAGTTAGTCAAGCTCTTTACTACAGTACTATCCTATCTGAAAAAACAGTACAGGTATCAAGAAATGCTAAACTTGAGATACCATCTGGGAAAGTACCCTGACCCTTTGTTCAGTTCAGGTCCTCCTAGAAGCAGACACCCAAGACAAGATTAGACATGCAAGAGATTTATTGGAAAAACACCTATGAAAGATAAAAGGGGAGAGAGCGGGAGGAGATGATGAGAGCCTTCAGTCCATGATGTGCATCTGACACCTGTGAAAGGAGAAAGGAAAGGAAGGAGTATTGGGCAAGAAGAGCCTCAGACTGCAGAGCAATAATGAAAGTATGGACCAGGCCAATGGGACTCCCCAAACAAAGATTAAAAGAGTTCCCCATCAGTCAGAAATGTTCCAGCTCTAGTGGCCGAGCTGTGCTCAGCCACGTGTGGGAGTAGTCTGGGAAACGTATGGCCTTAGCATGAATGTCAGGGTAGATCCGAAGCTTCTTTTGAGGAGATACTAAGCTATGTGACTTCATGGTCACCAGAGACATGGTGACTGTTTCCTGGCAGTCATCCACATACCTTCTGCTGGCTGGGGCCTGAGCATGTTACAAGGCCCCTGAGCTTCCACACTGCCTCTCCAGAGGGTCTCCCCTTTAAGCACTGTCCCCTAAGAACCTGAGGATGCTGGGTAACAGAGGGTTCTCTCTGCAGGACCCTAGACTCTCAATGCTTTCTGCTTTAGAATTGGCCAGTCAAGTCACTGCTTGGACATGTGATAAAGATAGAGCAGAGAGGTGGTGAGGGACTTCACCAGACTCTGAGAGAAGGGGCAGCCCCTTCTGTTTCAACCCCGAGTTATCTGGTCAGACCCAATTCAGACAACTGCTTGGTAAAGACTATCACAACCAATGTTTCCAGTTAGGAAGCTTTGGAGCTTCATCTCGTCCCCTACAAAAAGTCCCTCAAAAGAGAAAGGGAAAAGGAGGGAAAGGCTCCTACCTGCAGTGGAGACAGTCCTTCTTCTCCAGGTGTCTGTCCAGGTCAGCCTGGCCATCGGCCTAGGTGGGCTTGATGCCTGCTGCAGGCTGGAGCAGAAACACCAAGGTCAGACCCACCATGGAGAGGCTTGCGGCTTGGGGGGACATGTCCACATCCTGCCTGAGCCCCACCAATCTGAATACCAGAGGGATGGATTTACCCTGTTTTGTGAAAGGGCACAGTGAGCCTCTGCAACCTTATCTCACTCCAGCCGGAATTCCAGCCCAAGAGCTTCCATCAGGCTGCCACAACCTTGAAGAATGGAGACATGAAGAGACACATCACAGAGTGAAAACAAAACAAAGCCAAGGGCACACAGCTTGTTTTTTTGTGAGCTGATCGCAGAAAGAGAACTTTGAATTTCTTTATGATACATTTTACTCGTATTGGAAGGAGTGGATGAACACCATTTCACTGAATTCAAAAGAAATAGATCTTAATATAGAATTATGTCCCTTGGTGCTGATGTGCGTGTGTGTGTGTGTGTGTGTGTGTGTGTGTGTGTGTGTGTGTGCGTATTCA